TACTATTAAATAACAAATACGTGAATTATTTTTTAACGGAGGGATTAACTTGAAACCAAAATTTAAAAATTTTAATGACCAAATTAAAAATTTTTTTAGTTTAAAGACCAACTCAGAAATCCATACAATAATTGAGAAACTCAATTAAAGATTTAACTTTAATTAATTAAGTTGTGGATATAAATAATTCTTCTATGACTTTTCAAGGATCAGGAAAATAAACCATATTTGATCAGTGTTGATCTTGACAACCATTGAAGAAGATATTCAAAGTATCTTCCTACTGAAAAAGTAACTTTCTTCTTCAAAATCTAATAAAGTAAATCTAAAAGGTTAATTAGCTGTTAGCCAGATAACACCAAAAACGATATATTATAGATGAGAAGTTGACAAATTAGTCACCACCAAATATTTTCGTTTTTATTCATTTTCACAGTCAGATATCAAGTTGGCATATGGTTTATATATTTCCTAGTTAGATTAATGTAGTGGCTATAGTGGGCATATCTCAGCATGACATGTGCGTGCTTATGTATATACCTGCCTGATTCATTCCTTTAGAATCAGTTAAATTTTTCTCATTACGTGTAGACTTATTCTTTGTGCTACATATATTATTTAATTTTTTCGTGCTGTGGGGTCCTGTGGAATTTAAGGTTATAATTCATATTTATTACTTTTCAAGTTCCATTAAAGAAGGGTCCAGGAACTCCATTACCAATCTTTAGTGTCCTTTAGGTTTATTTAATTCAAGTTCCTTAAGGGAAGGGTCCAATTGAACAGTTCGTATCCTATTCTGTAAAATGCCTGAACCATAAAAATCCTGGATTTGGATTTTGGTGACCCAGACCCAATTTAATTTTTAGAATTAACAATGATCCAATTGACTAACTGATTACTTGCTGTCTACTTCACGGACTTGAAATTCAACACTACGAAACACCACTCTCTTTCAACATGATTACTATAGCCAGTGAAACTTCTCGGCAATTCTCCTAAAGGAAATTAGGTGCATTTTTTGAGGAAATGACGTTATCCTATATGTGGAACCAACTACTTTGATAATTCAAAAGAGTAGAATTTCTACGTATACTAATATTTCCTCAAGACTTCCTAATTATATAAATCCATCTTTTTTGGTAAGTAGGAGTTAAGAATTGAATTTTAAAATTATAATTAAAAATATAAATAACTTTATCATTAGAATATACACAGTGGCAGAGCCACAAATTTTAGTAAGGGAGCAGATCAAATCTCACAGTAATACACTATAAATTCAAAAGTTTATTTTTATATCATAAATTAAAATAATACTTGATAAGTTTTTATATTATAAAATTTATCTATAATAAAGTATATACTAATATCTGAACTATTTCATTTTTAATATAAATAATCAAAGAGTTTGAAAAAATTCATCATCCATTTTGCTGTGAAATCTTGTTTTTACAATTTTCATGATAAAAAATGCTCTTTCTATTGTTGTTGTAAAAACTGAAAGAGTAAGTATAAAAATAATTAATTTGTAAATAAGACTATAGACTTATGATTTTCCTATGTCCTTCAATATTATTGTAATATTCAATTTTGTTTTTAGTCTCAGCAACTTTAAATCCTAAAAAGAAATTATATAATTTTTTGTGATAATAAAAAATCAATAAATTTCATTATTTAAATATTATTCCCTATATATTAAAA